ATTCCTTTTAGAACACCATGGGGGCCAGCGTATATCGGACGTTTGAAGTGAGCTTCCAGTGAGCGTTTTAACCTTTGACCACCGCGGGTCCGAGCAGTGTAAGCTTAAGTGTTGTCGGTAAGCTTCTAGCGTAAGGCCCCGCGTTTCTAAAAGCCCAAAACGAGGTCTTGAGGAAGATCAAGCCGCCTGTTGCAGGTCGCCTGTTGCACGTCTCCTGTGGCAGGCCGCCTACAGAGTCTCTTTCGCCCTGATGCTACTGTTACCTAGCAATAAATAGGTACCTGAGAGTTAGACAGCTGTTACGGGCTGCTTCCTGAGGGTGTATGTGTGTGTGAAAATAAATATATATAGTTAGCTAGTAGTTAGTAACAGTTGATTGATTGACAGTTGAGAGGCGGGACTAAAGAGCCAGCGCTCAACCCCCGGCAAGCACAACTAGGTGAATACAACTAGGTGAATACACATTCATACAGCAGAAATAGTATTGAATAAAAGTTCCATCAGCGAATATGTATCGATTAATATCCCAAACAGCCAATACAAATTAAGCAATTACCCAAGAGATTACGCTATTACAACGAAATATAAATGGCCACTAACGTAACAATATGTCATAAAAAAGAGGAACAGCCAATGACAGGCCGCCACAAAAACTCAACAGCCAATGACAAGCCGCCACAAAAACTCAACAGCCAATGACAGGCCGCCAACAGCCAACAGATAGCATATGTAGCCAAACATTTTTCAGCCAATAAAAAAATGTTATATAATATAATTGGCTAATAGAAATGCGGTATATGGCAAATCTAACCAATGAGGACACGCTAAATTGTTCTACAGCAATCAATATTGTATCTCCACACACACACACATGTAGCCAGAATTCAACCCATTCTCGCACTTTCTTATAGTCAATATTGACTTATTAAATACGTGCATATGTGACATACTAATTTATTGTGAATATTTTAGTTTATCTCGAAAAGCTTCATACAAAACACCGACCTTACCTAACCTTCTTAGTATGTTAAGATAAGCATCTTATTGCTTCGTAATTACAATTATTACTTAACCTATACCTATAATTGGTTAAGTAATAATTGTAATTACGAAGCAATAAGATGCTTATCTTAACATACTAAGAAGGTTAGGTAAGGTCGGTGTTTTCTATGAAGCTTTTCAAGGTAAACTAAAATATTCACAATAAATTAGTATGTCACATATGCACGTATTTAATAAGTCAATATTGACTATAAGAAAGTGCGAGAATGGGTTGCAGATTTGCACTTCCTGGCTTGGTATGCAAGTTCCGATTTGCCTAACAGGCAGATTGATTTTCATTATTTTCAAATATTTATTTTGCAATTGGTCTATTCCACTTAAAATTTATTATATTATTAAGAACATGAATTACTGACTTAGTTAAGCTAGGTTAGGTTAGGTTAGGTTAGGTTAGGTTAGGTTAGGTTAGGTTAGGTTAGGTTAGGCTAGGTTAGGTTAGGTTAGGTTAGGTTAGGTTAGGTTAGGTTAGGTTAGGTTAGGTTAGGTTAGGTTAGGTTAGGTTAGGTTAGGTTAGGTTAGGCTAGGTTAGGTTAGGTTAGGTTTTAATAAAAAAAAATCCAAACAGACTGAACTAAAGGTATTCACAATGCTTTCTAGTTTATTTGACTAATACGGCCTGCTGAGGATTTTAGACAATTTCTGATCAAAAAAATTGTTGATTGTACTTAGATACTTAAAAACCAAGTTCATGTTCAAAATTTTCAAAGTGTGAGAGAGAGATTTGTATAGTGATAACTTAGCCAAAAACTTACACTCTCAAAATTTTAATATCAGTTAATATATGAACATATTATATATATCTATATATGACAATGTCAGACCACGGAGGAAAAATGAAACAGGAAATTTCCTTAAGTACTTTCGTATATTAAATACATCTTCAGAAGGTCCTTCTTTCTTCAGAAGGACCTTCTGAAGATGTATTTAATATACGAAAGTACTTAAGGAAATTTCCTGTTTCATTTTTCCTCCGTGGTCTGACATTGTCACATTCTTAATCACGTGTTTATTTTCGTGATATACACACATATCTATATATATATATATATATATATATATATATATATATATATATATATATATATATATATATATATATATATATATATATATATATATGAAACAAAGGTACAATCAGATTTTTTATTTAAATTTTTTGATGTCCTCAGAAAGAGAATGAGAAAGAGAGAGAGAGAGAGAGAGTGTGTGTGTGTGTGTGTGTGTGTGTGTGTGTGTGTGTGTGTGTGTGGTGTGTGTGTGTGTGTGTGTGTGTGTGTGTGTGTGTGTGTGTGTGTGTGTGAAAAGAATTATGAGCATAAGAGAGATATTAACACAGCTTAAATAAGCTTAAAATTAAAATAATTGAAGAGAGTAAGCCCAGCCCCCAACCAGCCAGTGTTAATCAACCATATAGAGCAGCGTGCACCTAGAGGGCCATGAACAAAGAACAAATATTGAACAAAATAAACAATGGATAACGAGGGTACCATGAACAATGTGGAGGAGGGGGAGGGAGAGGATAAAGCGAAGGAACTATGAATAACGAGAGCCAGCAGAAGCAGATATTCAGAAAGAATGGATCTCAAAATATACATTTACGCATGGTATTACGAATTCATCACTTAGGTGTGATGGGAGCCGGTCGGCCGAGCGGACAGCACGCGGGACTTGTGATCCTGTGGGTTCGATCCCAGGCGCCGGCGAGAAACAATGGGCAGAGTTTCTTTCACCCTATGCCCCCTGTTACCTAGCAGTAAAATAGGTACCTGGGTGTTGGTCAGCTGTCACGGGCTGCTTCCTGGGGGTGGAGGCCTGGGCGAGGACCGTAACGCGGGGACACTATAGCCCCGAAATCATCTCAAGATAACCTCAAGATAGGTAAACTCATCACTCATCGGCTCCAGACCCATGGGTGGATGGGTGGCAGTAAGGTAACCCAGTCACATAATGGGTACATGAGTTGCATCTCACTGAACTCTAACTAATTTATTTTGTTGTATAACTGCTATTGCATTAATTTGCCTGTTTTGCAAGATGAGTCCATCCACTGGGCGGCTGTGGGAAGCATGCAGTAGAATAGTGAAAAAGAGGCGGGCTCAAGAGCTGAACACACACACACACACACACACACACACACACACACACACACACACACACACACACACACACACACACACACACACACACACACACACACACACACACACACACACACACACACATGCGGCCCCAGTATGGAGCCCGTACCTTGTCAAGCACAAGACGTAGCTGGAAAAAGTTTAGAGGTATGCCGCTAGACTAGTCCCAGAACTAAGAGGCATGAGTTACAAGGAAAGGCTGCGGGAAATTGCACCTCACGACACTGGAAGACAGAAGAGTAAGGGGAGACATGATCATTACCTACAAAATTCTCAGAGGAATTGACAGGGTTGATAAGGATAAACTCTTTAACACGGGTGGTACGCGAACAAGGGGACACAGGTGGAAACTGAGTACCCACATGAGCCACAGGGACGTTAGAAAGAACTTTTTTCAGCGTCAGAGTAGTTAACGGGTGGAATGCATTAGGCAGTGATGTGGTGGAGGCTGACTCCATACACAGTTTCAAATGTAGATATGATAGAGCCCAATAGGCTCAGGAATCTGTGCACATGTTGATTGACAGTTGAGAGGCAGGACCAAAGAGCCAGAGCTCAACCCCCGCAAACACAACTATGTGAGTACACACACACACACTTTATATATATATACATATATATATATATATATATATATATATATATATATATATATATATATATGTATATTTATATATATATAGTGTGTGTGTGTGTGTACAAGCTATTGATTACACGAATTTATGAACAACTACGGAGCTCTGATGAACAAAATCAGTTCACTGGAGTGGAGATGATGTCTTGAACAGAATTTAAGTTACTGTGAAAGAGTTCTGTTCAACGAAGCACTGGAGCATAAACCCATATGTGTACAATACTGGAGCTTCGAAGTCATGTATGTACAACACTGAAGCTTTGAAGTCATATGTGTACGGTAAACACCTGATACCTGTCACTGTACGTAACCCCTTATACCTGACACTGTACGAACCCCTTATACTGACACTGTACGTAACCCCCTGACACTGTACGTAACCCCTTATGACACTGTACGTAACCACATATACCTGACACTGTACGTATCCCCTTATATCTGACACTGTACGTATCCCCTTATACCTGACACTGTACGTAACCCTTTATACCTGACACTGAACGTAACCACTTATACCTGACACTGTATGTAACCCCTTATACCTGACACTGTACGTAACCCCTTATACCTGACACTGAACGTATCCCCCTTATACCTGACACTGTATGTATCCCCTTATATCTGACACTGTACGTAACCCCTTATACCTGACACTGTACGTAACCCCTTATACCTGACACTGTACGTAACCCCTTATACCTGACACTGTACGTAACCCCTTATACCTGACACTGTACGTAACCCCTTATACCTGACACTGTACGTAACCCCTTATACCTGACACTGTACGTAACCCCTTATACCTGACACTGTACGTAACCCCTTATACCTGACACTGTACGTAACCCCTTATACCTGACACTGTACATAACCCCTTATACCTGACACTGTACGTAACCCCTTATACCTGACACTGTACATGAACCTGATATCTAATACTGTCCATGTATCTGCCTGATCCTGTATCCATTCTTTAATTTTTCGCATCATAGACCCATAAGAGCTGTATTTGAATAATTATTAGGCCTAAATCACTATCGGTACCAGTCGGCCTATAGCTGAAGCTTGTATCCGGTCCTGTACCCCTTTTCCTGTACCGGGGCTCGAACCATTGAACAAGAAAAACACACAAACAAGGCATCTGAACATGGATTCGAGGTAAACTTACTGTTTTCCAGTCCTCCTCTGATCTTGGGTTTGCTGGCAGACGCCCAGCACACAGCTGCACACAGCAGTATGGACAGCAGCAACAGCAGGAGCAGCAGCGGTACTTTGGTGTTCCTTGGCATCCTAACAAGGCGTTTGGGTCGTTTCACCCTATTATCCTGTGGCACTGGCGTTAGGTAGAGTCAGATAATGTTCTTTGTCAGGTCCAGTGGGCCTACTAGAACTGTCAGTGGTATCGTTAAGGGTGGTTTAATTGGTCCCTGGTCGTTAAGGGGGTTGGCTTCAACGCCCCCTGATTGGTAGAGGGAATGGCTTCCACTGATCCAGTCTATTATTGCACAAATTAAGTTTTGTTTCTAGGGGTCAGCCTCTACTGACAACCTGATTTTTCTAGGCTATTGTGTGATGGACAATCACTCACGAAGGCATCATAATTTTTTGGCACTTTCTCATCTCGTGTTCAAGTCAGATGAACTGGTTCTTGAACAGTTTTAGACAGTCGATTAATATTATTCTCACACGATGAGCTAAGCCAAACTCATCTGTGATATATTTTAAACAGGCTTGATATCTACAGTCAATGATATCCTCTTCCAATTTGTTCATAGGGGACTCATTCAATGTTGAACATCTGATTAAGCAGCAGTTTGACTCATTTGCGTGAGTCAAAGGTATCTCGCACTTGGGTGAGTCAAACTACTTCGCACTTGGGTGAGTCACTATGATGAATACGACGCAAACTGGCTCAAGGCACCAATTTTAAGTATTTATAACAGTCAATAGCGACAAATTGGTCAGCATAAATTACCCTCCTAATGGTCGTTACGGAAGTAGTCAACAGCGCGATTATCCAGCATGGCAGAACTCATTATAATATAATGTAGCACTTCTATTGCCAAAGGCACTCACTTCACTGTCAGTAAAGTGCTAACTTCCGCCTACTTAATTAGTGACTGTATGAAAGCACTCAACCACTTAATTCTCACTTACCTCTCCCACCAATCACCGTTCACTTGTGCCGTAAGTAAATCGTTTCATCCAATGAGAATTATATGAATCGTTCACAGTCTTAAAAAATTATATTGTAATTATCAGATATTACACTATAATTGTTTTGCTGTCTCTACATGATACATTTGACCTTTAGAAACTCATTTAGAATTTGAAAAAGAATAAGCATACTTTCGTGCGAAAATATATAATTTTCTGTTTTCAACTTTTCAATACTTTCTATATCGGGAAGGAAATATTCTGAAATTTTCTCATTATATTTTCATCGGTGCATTAGTTTTGTCTATATTGTTCAACTCGGGCCCCGTGAACACAGGCTGAATGTTCATACGTGTACGAGCATTCATACATGTATCTTCAGCATCCACAAATATCATTTACTATTTTGCCAACCACTGTCTTAAGAAAATCATAAATCACTTATTCTTTGGGTGAACAATTAGGCAAATAAACATGTCGTTTTCATAAGTGCAATTCAGTTCTTGATTCTCAAAAAAATTCAATATTAGAGAAATGCCTGAAAATTTGACATGAATTTTCAATTCGATTTCAGTGAGAATGTATTATTATTTATTGGGAACCATAAAGTAGTTTCAGTAAGGATTGAGAACCATTGTCAGCGATGGATGTGTGTGTGCGTGAGAGAGAGAGAGAGGGGCCAGGGAGAACGCAGCACCGCGCAACCTTCCCACTCCGCTGCTCAGAGGTAACTGAACCTCTCGTGGGTAGCTAAGTCCCTTTTGGCCGTCCGCCGCACACTGTATCGGTACTGTTTTATTGTTGTTGTTGTGGTAGTGGGTGTGGTGGTGTGGTGGTGGGTGTGGTAGTGGGTGGGGTGGTGGTAGTGGGTGTGGTGGTGGGTGTGGTGGTGGGTGTGGGGTGGTAGTGGGTGTGGTGGTGTGGTGGTGGGTGTGGTAGTGGGTGTGGTAGTGGGTTTTGTAGTGGGTGGGGGTGGTAGTGGGTGTGGTGGTATGGTGGTGGGGTGTGGTGGTGGTGTGGTAGTGGTGGGGGGGTGGTAGTGGTGGGTGTGGTGGTGTGTGGTGGTGTGGTGGTGGGTGTGGTGGTGGGTGTGGTAGTGGGTGTGGTAGTGGGTGGGGGGTGGTAGTGGGTGTGGTAGTGGGTGGGGGGTGGTAGTGGGTGTGGTGATGTGGTGGTGGGTGTGGTAGTGGGTGGGGGGGTGGTAGTGGGTGGGTGTGGTGGTGGGGGCATCGAGTCACCTCATTGCTTTTGCTAATTTTTCTCACAATGTTCATAAATTTATCTATTTTCCCCAATATCATTAATATAATATGTGGTGACGCCCGTTATTTCCTAAGCTTAAAAGTTTACAGTTTCAGCATTAAACTGCAACTGGCAATCTTGTTTCTATTTCATGCAGACGCAACACTGTTGTGAGTTTACACTGAGAAGTAAACAATCAGTGTATACTCCTGTCAGTGTACATTATTTGATAAATATAAGCATGAAGTGGAATACACTTCTGAGGGCAGTAAGGAGAAGAGTCACGTCAATACAGGGGATCTGTGAGATGTAATGTATGCCTGCTGCTGTCATGGAGGGTGTTAATAGATAGTAACCAGCATGCGGAGCCACCACGGCTATAAGGCAAGCGATCAATCCAGCAGTTGTTGCAGCATCGAGAGACGCTACATCTGATCTGTCTTTGATGGGGCTGTCCCTGCTGGATTGCTTTCAAGCTTCAGATGGGGCTGACCCTGCTGGATTGCTTCAAGCTTCAGATGGGGCTGTCCCTGCTGGATTGCTTTCAAGCTTCAGATGGGGGCTGTCCCTGCTGGATTGCTTTCAAGCTTCAGATGGGGCTGTCCCTGCTGGATTGCTTTCAAGCTTCAGATGGGGGCTGTCCCTGCTGGATGCTTTCAAGCTTCAGATGGGGCTGACCCTGCTGGATTGCTTTCAAGCTTCAGATGGGGCTGTCCCTGCTGGATTGCTTTCAAGCTTCAGATGGGGCTGACCCTGCTGGATTGCTTTCAAGCTTCAGATGGGGCTGACCCTGCTGGATTGCTTTCAAGCTTCAGATGGGGCTGTCCCTGCTGGATTGCTTTCAAGCTTCAGATGGGGGCTGTCCCTGCTGGATTGCTTTCAAGCTTCAGATGGGGCTGACCCTGCTGGATTGCTTTCAAGCTTCAGATGGGGCTGACCCTGCTGGATTGCTTTCAAGCTTCAGATGGGGCGGTCCCTGCTGGATTGCTTTCAAGCTTCAGATGGGGCTGTCCCTGCTGGATTGCTTTCAAGCTTCAGATGGGGCTGTCCCTGCTGGATTGCTTTCAAGCTTCAGATGGGGCTGACCCTGCTGGATTGCTTTCAAGCTTCAGATGGGGCTGACCCTGCTGGATTGCTTTCAAGCTTCAGATGGGGCTGTCCCTGCTGGATTGCTTTCAAGCTTCAGATGGGGCTGACCCTGCTGGATTGCTTTCAAGCTTCAGATGGGGCTGTCCCTGCTGGATTGCTTTCAAGCTTCAGATGGGGCTGAATGAAGTGTTGCAACTATGAAAGAAAGCCACTTAGCTGTGTATAAAATTTATTACGCAGGTAATACGGGATGATTTCTTTCACTTGATTATTGGATGCTGAGGAGACAGGGAGGTTGACACAGTCATCTGAGTGACGGGCACCAAACTGTCTGCCTACAAAGAACGTCGCATTTCGATCGTATGCGT